GGCAGAGGGTCCCCCCGTGGTCCCCTCCTCCAGCCTCCCCCACCTTACTTACCTGCAGTGGAGCACAGGTCCAGCTTCCTGCAGCTGGCACACTGCCTGCCCTGCATGGGCAGGCAGCGTGCTTCAGCACTGGGGTGAGGGCCAGCCATAAAGACACTCTGGCAGGCTACCAGAGCGTCTCTGTGGAGGACCAAGCCTCTGGTTGCCTCAGGCTATCCGGGAACGTGCTCTGCCCTGCTTTTTTCCCCTGTGGTTTTTTTTGACCTCTGGATATCCAAGGGTCTAATTTTGCCCCTGCACTACAAATTTGTTTTTTCGTTCCCACAGGTGCCTCATGCAGCATCTCAAAGGGCTTTGAGATGCTGCAAGATGCACATGCGGGCTCATGTGGCTGCGCCCATCATGTCAAGAGATGATTTTCCAGCAGTGTGACCTTCTGATTTTTATTTCACCTAACAAAACAAAATAATGACCTACTCCTCAACAGCAGCTATCCTTATGGAAATTTGAGGTTTTTATTCAATGTGTTATTAACTAACCAAATCACCATAAAACCCTTTCAGCTGAGGATTAAAACAGAAAGAATCAGATTCACGGAATTTGTTCCAGAAAGTTATGAGAATTAAAAAAAATAAATATATAATGAAGATGATAAAGCACCTTAGAAACAAACTGGTTAGCTGCTAAACTAGTTTGGCTTTCTGCCACCATGCCCCGCCTACCCAGAATACACTGAAGGAACATGGGGGGTGGGGGAGTTGTTGATATTTTTTTCTGCCAAAATCAAATTTCCTACTTTTCCTACTGCTTTATTTGGTTGGAGACCATTTTCTGTGGGGCTGTGTTAGAGTGACAGCAGGCCCAAAAATCAGATTCCTTCCCAGATTCTTTTGCAGAACGTTTATTACCTGAGCAACAGAGAAAGACGTATATATTCTTTGCTGGCGCACATATTACTGGAGAGCTGTCTAACTGGCAGCCTGCGAGCAGCTGTTGCTGCTGCTGCTGCTGCTGCTGCTACAATATCTCGCTGCCTATCTCCAACACTGTTGGCTCACAGGTAGGCAGACAGCAGTCCTTCTTTGGAGGGGGGTCAGTCCATGCCAGGATGGGGGTGCAGTGTAGGCAAGGGTAAGGATGGGGGGGCATCAAGGTGTTGGGTATAGTCAGGACATCCAGGATGTAGGTAAGTAGGGGACCCCTGGGATGGGGCAGCACAGCGTAACAGCATTGCTCAGTCAAGCAGAGTTGCCTACCCAAGATTTTTTTTTAACACTATAGTTGGCATTAAACCCCTAAATATGAATCTGGCCCTCATCCAAAGCCCAGCAGAAGAATTACATTTATGCTATGCAAAACATATGGCAGTAAAAAAAAGTCTGGTTGCCAGTAAAAAGTTTGCAGATTGTCAGCAAACAAAATTGGGTTGGCAACCCTGGAAATGAGTCCAATAAGGAGTTCTTATTGTAGACTCTGAAGTTGAAAGTCTTTCTAGTGTCAATAAAAACTTATTTAGGGAGGGAAAAAACAGTAATCAGAAGTGTATTAATATATAAGAAATGTACAAACTCTCACCTTATTTCAATAGAAATTAGACTAAGACTTATGGGTAAATATCTCCCTGTACAAGGTATCCAGTGCTATCTGATGATTAAGAAATGATTAAAGAGTCTTTCCTTTTGGGCCTGCAATATAAAGAGCAAGGAGAAAGCCAGTTGTTTCATACCTTGTAGAAGCTGTATTTGCTTGCTGGAGTCCTCAACCTGCAGTCGGTATGCTTTTCTCTCTTCTTCCAATAATGCTATAAATGAAAATGGAAACTTGTCTGAAGTTTTTGTTAAATATTAATAAGCAATTATTTCAGTTTTGTAACTTGTCAATTTGAAAGTTAATCTCAAATTATCTCCTCAGGTTTTTTTTTAGACTTTGAAAGATTAGATTGATCAAATTATCCCAAAAAGTTATCAGAGCTGGTAGTTATGTGAGTGGTTTAATAAGTTAATATTCCATAAAATATTCTATTATTTTTGGTGGTAGTGTAATTAATCTTATAATTAATATTGTCCATCTTTTGACCTTAAAAATGCAATTTTGCATTATGTGGATTGCTGTGGGAGGGGAAGAAGAAACAAGCTTGTGGAGATTTCTCAAAAAGAATGCTGAACAGGATGAATTTGAAGCACACTACACTGTTTTCTGTAAAAAAAAAAAAAAAAGTAAACCAAGACTTTTACTGGTGACACTGACATAGCTACAAGCAGGGTGTATGGATGACTAATCTAATGCATCAGTAATTCATACTCACGTATTCATACATTTTGCATTTTATCAAATTACCTAAATGTATACTGATCACAGAATATCATGATTAATTTAGGTCTCTAGCAATTTAAGTATGGGAATAAGAGCCACCAGCTTGTCTGCAGCTTCTACATAAACATACTTTTTTCTGACATTTTAAACAGCATACAAGTAAACACTGTGCTAACAGAATATTTACCGGAGGTTCAAACAAAAAAAATGGTGTAAGCATTCCCTTTTAAGGTTACATACTTATTAAATTTACTTAAAAGGACAAGTATTTGGGATAACACTCAAGTAACATTTTAATGGGTACCCTATATAGTCAAATTTATCTGGGTCTCACCTTGAAGTTCAAAACATTTTTGTTTACTTGTTCTAGCTAGCTCTTGGGCATCAATCAGCTCCTTGTGCAGATGCTGAATTTCTTGTTTAGCCTCAGTTTCTGATTGTGCACCCTGCAAGTCATCTGATAAAAGAACATTTTTCTTTAAACCATGAGCCTGTAAAACAACTTAAATTACACTGCCATGTGAAGAGTGACAGTTTTTCTACTTAAGTCAAGCAGCGTTAATTATAGTAATGCTCATCACTGGGTTAGGCAGAGGTTAGCAGAAAATATTAATATCCTATTAACATTTTGTTTTAATTTTGAGGGGAAAGCAACATTTCATTATATTTTAAAACCAATATACAGAGAAATAGGAAAACAGAATTTGCACATACAAGGAATCAGAAGCTAAGAAATACTTTATTTTTTAAACAAACATATGGAGTTAACATATATCAAGGTTGTATTCTGAAGTCTTGAATGTAGTTGATGGCATTGTAAATAGTATTTTATTTATAAAAACAAAAATGTACATTCATTGCTACTTTGAAAGTCAAGTCTACAAGTTCCTAAAGCAAAGAGCACCATGCCACTTAGGCAGCAGCAGCAGGAACAATGTGATTTATAATGTTTTAATGCATCGAGACCAATAAATCAATCTATATCTATCTATAAATCTATAGATTTATTTATTTATTTATATAGGATCCTAATATATGGGATCCTAATGCCAAGCATACCATTTGAGATCCACAGTACTCGCAAATGTTTAGCACTACTGAAGTTTTTGTCTTAAAAAAATCTAGTTGCACTTTTTCACTTCGATATTACTCTTAACATTTTTGATATTTCCTTAATTAAAGATGATGTCCATTCACATATTTTAGCTCGAATAAAATTAAGTGAACAACAAAGACAAAGCACTGGACCAAAGGGCTAAAACGAGTCATCACTGACTGAAATAAATAAAATATATATTTAAAAAAATAATATATTTTAGCAGAATAGAAAATACAGGAAGCAAATGTATACAAATATTCCTCACTAAAAACAGTGCATCAGCTACTTCTATCATTTATTGATAGTTGAATAGTAGCACCTTGGCATGACAGACTGGAGGAAAACAGAGTTCTAGCACAAAATATTCTTCAAAATTAGGACTAGGATTCTCAAAGCCCATACTCAGTTAAGATCTCTCAAGTAAATATCAACCAAGAAAGGGACTGTACAGTGTAATAAACAATACTGCTAAATTACATAAGACACAGGTGGAAGTGGACGAACTTTAAGCAATGTACATCAATTGTTTGGTTGAGCAGGGGAATGCTAAGGAGAAAAAGGAGAATGAGACAACCTGGCTATCTGTCATGGGGAAACAAAAAGCATGCATTACATGGATTATAACTTCTGTGTCAGAATTCATACAGGTCTGAAGTTAACATCTAAAGCATAGAAAAAAACCTTCAGTTAAGACCCAGAGCTGTTTTTACTGAAGAATCCAGAAAAAATTAATTACGACTGTTATTAGTTAAGTTTTACTTTGGCTACGTACAAATATTTATACTTGTTTATGTACTTGAGACTCCAGCAGACCACAGAAATAATTGTTGTGGTTGGCTCCTTTTCTCAAATTATTATTTTCCTTAAAGAAGTTATTTATCTTGTCACCACACCATCACATCCCTTTAGATAAAGATCTTGTGTTTCTCTTATTCTTATATTAATTCCACCTCTTGGACTTCTTACAGTTTCTTTAACCATGTTATTTTTGCATATTTTCCCCTTGAAGGACAAAGTAGTGTTATAAGTTTACATGCTATAGTAGTTAATCTTTTGAACAGGGATCCTTCATTGCAGCTGATATTGTGGCAGCTATGTCCCCTAAAAAATAACTTATATTTTTGTCTAACAGTAGAAACTATATTTTGTTTCAGGGTACATAATGTTTAAAAATAGTTTCTCTTATTATGGCTTCAAATTACAGGAAGAACGTTTATTAGAACATCTCATCCAGCTGAGGCATAACAAGATGCTTTTTGATAATTATAGGAATATGAAAACTAAGTCAAATCTAATTTTTATATTAATTTCTTTCTGGTGGGAATAATGTAATGAAGTTAGTTTATAAATATCCCCCTGCCTCCCCACCCCTCCAACTTTGATCTTTACATGGTACTATTATAATAAAAGGACAGAACAAATAGGGGGAAGTCATTTCCCAACATTTTTTCTTCTAAAAATCTATTAGCATTCCTAATTCTCATTCCTCTTCATTACTGAGGTATTGTTTTCAGTTCCTTATGTGGAAAGGCTTGAATAACTGGAATTTCAATGCTTGTTAATGTTCAATAAACAGATGAAGAGACTGACAAACTCCACTGGAGTCAGCTCATCAAAGAAACATGCCTTGGCTGCAGAGAGAGGAGAAGCTTTAGTTCAGCTTTCTGGTGGGCACCCTCTTTCCTATCTGTGGAAGCATCTATCTTAAACAGGGCTGTAGGTTGTAGCCGTGTTGTTCTAAAGACATAGGCAGACAAAGTTCTTTGGGTAAATCTGGTATCTTTTATTAGACCAACACGATTAGTTGAAAAAATTCTTCTTAGCAAGCTTTCGGGCTACGCACGTGCGAGTCAGCAGCAATCCAATCCAGCTATGGATCCGTTTGCTTCGGATGGCCGCGATCTGATCCGGAGATCTGGACCGGGTTTTCGCCTAGATCCAGCTGAAGCTGCTCCGAAGCTTTGGAGCCGCCTCAGAGATCTGGCCATAGGGTATAATGGGCAATCAATGAAATATCTATAACATTGTTGTTTTTTGTCTGATTTGGATGAAACTTGCAGGGATGGTAGCCTCTGCTGAGAGCATGAAATCTGCCCAGTTTCAAGAAGATTGGTGCAGGGGTTTGAGGAAAAGTGTACCCCAAATTCCTGAAAGCCAAACTCATGTCACGGCTGTGTGTTACAACACAGGGAGGGGTCAAAACTGCAGGGCTGGTAGCCCTTACTGAGGCCACAAAGCCGGCCAAGTTTCAAGGAGATCGGTGCAGGGGTTGACCCCCCCTGTGTTGTAACACATAGACATGATGGGAGTTTTGCTTTCAAGAATTTGGGGTGCCGTTCCCCCCAAATCCCTGCACCAATCTTCTTGAAACCTAGTAGGCTTCATCCTCTTTGCAGAGTCTACCACCCCTGAACATTTAATCCAAATTGGACAAAAAACAACAAAGTTATAGATATTTTGTTTCCCCATTATACCCTATGGCCGGATCTCCGAGGCGGCTCCAAAGCCTGTCAGAAGCTCCGAACCGCTTCGGGAAGCCTAATGAGGCAGCGCTTCGACCCAGATGTGCTGCTTCGGACCCTGAAACATCCAAAGCTTCTCTGGATCCGAAGCTCTGTCTGAAGCCTCGCACGGCCCTATTTCAGGCACAAACGCCCTTTGTCAGGCTGCGGAAGCGCCTGTAGAGGGTCTGTGCTCTTCCTGGTTGGAGTGGTAAAACAGCCAGAGGCCAGGATATACGAGAAAGCCAGTCAAGTTAAAATGTAAGTTGTAGAGGTGCACTGATACATCAGTCCGATATCGGATCAGAACCATTATAAAAAAAATTGACAATATCAGAAATCAGCCTGATGTGACCAATAAATACCCATGTGTGCATGAAGCTGCAGTGCAACACGCACGCAGCAGGGAGCAGAGCCCGGCAGGGTGCAGCTGGTAAGTCTGTTGTGGTGAAAGGGGAAGGGGGAAAGGAA